TTTTAGATAGGCTGGCGACCTTTGCTGTACAGCATAATATAAATGAAGTGCAAAGGGCTTGTGTATGGATTGAATACTTCAATGCTGGGAAAAAATATCTCCCTCTGCTAGGATGTGAGAGTGACAGTCATCGTGGCTAAGAATTCAGTCCTCCAAGGTGACTAGGGTTTCCTCGTCGACCAAGGGAGGAGGGCAGAGGCATCCGGTGCCTTTTGCTGACCTTGCATGCTTCCCCCCTCTTGCTATTAGCCATTGGCTACCAGCCCAAGTGCATCTCTCCCACCCCACCATCTCCCTGCCCTCCTCTCACAGCCCTCTGTCTGCCTTGATTCCCAAACCCATCTGCCTGCACCCTTGGCCGTGAAGGAGGGCCAACCCCCCCTCACCTCCCCTTCCCCATCCACTTGGCTTTTATCTGGGAAAAGGCCAGACCTGGGGTGGAGTGGTGGTGGTGGGGGGCTGGATCCCCCTCTACATCTGCAAGGAATGTAGGGTTTTTTGGGGGGGGAGTGTGAGGAGTAGGTGGGCATCAGTAGCACCCCCCCTCCTCCAGCCTGGAGCTCTCCTTAGAAGGCTGAAAAGGCATCTTTGGCCGGGCGGGAGGAACGCCTTGGCCAGCTGCTGACACCCGAGCTCTCTCGTGAAGGACACTTTCTCCTTCAGGTCTGGGGTGTCTCTCTCTCTCTCTGTATGTCTTCGTCCAGCTCGTGACCGGCAGATGATCCCGGGAGGGGTGGGGGGGGTGAGACAGGTCCTTCCGGCAGCAGGAACATAAAGGACTCGGTCTCCCTCTGCAATCTGTGGGCTGAGTCGGCCTCTGGTCGCCGACCCCTACCCCCTGGTTTGCACTTTCAGGATCCGGACAAGAAGCCTGGGACATTCAGAGACCACCACCCCACCATTCAGGAGAGGAGGAGAAGCCTTCTCCCGGTTGATCAAACCAAAGCCGGCGTCTCTAGTCCTGCCCGTCAGTTCCCACCCGAATGGCCAGCCAGGTGCCGGGGAGAACCCCACCTGCAGGCACAGGACAGTCCAGCTGGAGGGGCCCCCTAGACTCATGTATTCCAACCCCCAGCAAGGCAGGAAACTCAGCCCTGGCAGGCGGCCGTCCGGCCTGCGTCTGAAGATTTCTGGACAAGGAGAAAGCATGGCTAGATTTGACGTTGCTCCCACCTCCTCCTTTTGTCCCCTGAGAGGGAGTCCACAAGGCAAACTGCCCTCCGTCACCTCTGGCCCCTGCAATGACGGGTGGCCACAGACCAGCCCGCCTGAGAGAGGAGTCGGCCATGGATCTCAGGAACCACAGAAGAAAACCTCAACGGTTCTCAGGACCGTCTCCAGGGTCGCCTCCCCTGACCTGGCGCCCTCCTGAGAACAGCAGGGACGGATGATGGGAGCTGTTGCCTTACCCATCATGAGGGTTTGGGGTTGGGAACGGTGGGATGGCGTGCCTCCCTGAGCGTGAGACCCTGATGAAGCCGTCGCTGTTTTCTGGGAATTCCCTAGATCGGTGGCTCCCATCCTGGGGTCCCCAGATGTTCTCGGACGACCCCACTCCCAGAAATCCTGGCCAACACAGCTGGTGGTGAAAAGGCTTCCGGAGCTTTTTGTGGAGAAAGGTGGGGTAAAAAAAAGAGACTTTTAATAAATAAGCAATAATGAATTGCAGTCCAAGAACGTATGGGGACCCCAGGCTGGGAGCCACTACTTTAAGATGACTTCAGACTTCTCCCAGCAGTCCTTTGGGTGTATGAATCTGAATACATTAGATGGCATTTAGAGACGTATGATTTTTTGGGGAGGTGACTGCTGTGGACCCGCATAGCTGCTGCCCGGTGTATTCTGGTCGCTGCAATCCAGAACCAGAAACCAACTCCACTCTGATGGAGTTTTGTGATCCTAGCGTGTTAGGGACATTGTATGGCTATGAAAGCGCTGCATGTAAGGACCACATCATCACGCTCCTGGCCCAAGCCACTATGGGAAGCAGCTGGTCTGCTCCTCGCCATCCTGCAGGTGGGGGGGAGGGTCTACCTTTCATGCTCGGAGGGCTGTTCGGAAGCATTAAAACCTGCCCAAACGTTATCCAAGTCCTCAAGCTTCTGCTGGCCACCCTTAGGTAGTGCATTATATTTGTGCCTGTCTTCTGTTGCTATAGTTAAGTTGTTTTCTGTTCCTTGAGCCATTCAGAAAACCTTTTATTTTTTTTTAAAAAAAATCCCTTGTAAATGAAGTAACTCGGTAAACAAATACTGCACGGGGGGGGGGGGCTTGCAGCTCAGTGGCGTCTGAACGCACACAGGTGCTGTCTTCCTCACTCCCTGAATTCTGGACGAGCGGCTGCTTCTACGCGTGGGTTCCTTCTTGAACTTGTTTCCTGCTTCCGAGGCTGCGATTCAGGACAGTTTGGGGCAGGCTAGCCGTTCCGCTTTGGGAATTTGGAAAAGCCCACCGCTGTACCGGCTGGGGACAACCTGGGAGCTTTAGTTGGCCAAAGGAACTCCTCTGGATTCTGGCTGTTTTGCCTTTTGTCTGGTTTGGAGCCGACCTTTCTTAGGGCTTTTGCGCGGGGGTCCCAGGGTCTTTGGGCTTTCATAGAAAAGGCTCCTGGCAGACTTTGGGGGTCTCTGTTCCAGGGAGGCTTTCTTCTCCCATCTGGGGTGCTGCCGTGGGCCCAAGGTAGCCAGAGCCCTTTGGAAAGGCTTGGAGAGGAGGAGACCGGGGGGGGAGGGGAGAGAAGGATTTCAATTGAGTGATTTCACAGCCTGGGGTTTGCCCCTGGAGGCAGCTGCTCCGGCAAAGGTCAGCCCAGCGGCAGCCTGTCAGACCACACGGGAAAGGCAGGAGACACCCACTGCTGCTGCCGGAGCCCTCCCTTGGCCCCGGACTTGCCTTATTATTAGCGGGAGGAGGAGATTTGCACAGTGGCCGGCTGCCGGGACCGACCGAGGGGGCCCCTTGCCCATGCAGGCTGTGGGAAGCCAGGAGCCAGGACGCCGGAGGGCTGACCAGGTGAGGGGCAGATGAGTGGCCGTTTGCTGAGTAAGGGGGAGGCAGTGCCCGAGGACCCTCCACAAAACTGCCAAAGGAAGGAGTGGGCATTAGCTGAAGAGGGGGCATGAAGCCGGACCATGTGCTACAAATAACCTGCCTTGAAGACCTGACATTGCATTGCTGTCGGAGAGAAGCGATTCAGGCAGAATGTTGTGTCTGAAAAGTCAAACCTCTGATCAAAGACCATGTGAAGGTCCAGAAAACCAGTCATGGGATGAAGCAAGATGATGTGTTTAGTGGCGGCATAAAGAAAAGCTCCTGCTGCGACGAGCACACCTCATCGGCCCTTAAGGAACAGCCTCCTCTAAGTATGGCTTAAGCAATGGGTTTTTTTTCCTTCTCGTGCGCTTTTGTGTGGTTAGGAGACAACATGTCAATATTCCTCTTTGTGGATTCTTTTGTGTCCAAATAAAGGCTTTGGGCTGGAAAGGTTCATCCATTGTTGCCTTTTGCTGGCCAGGGAGGTGGAGGGGCTCTCTTGGTGGCATTGACTGGCATGGAGCTGTTGTTGTTGTTGTTGCTGCTGCTAGTGGTCTCTCTGTTTGTGTGCGTTGATATGGAGATACCAGACCCAGGCAGTTTCTAGTTTGGATTACAATTCCCAAAATTGCAACCCCCAGCTGGTTCTAGTTCCAAAGTTGCTATAGGGTTGAGACATTGTGTTTAAACTCAAGAACCTCTGCTTGTTCTGGATATGAAGAAAATAATGTGGAGGTGCAGGCGGGGGTACCCCAAAGAAGGGCCACTGGGGAGGGGCATTGTGGAGCTGCTTTGGCACCCCTGTTGAGCTGACCTTGACAAAGCAGCTGTGGGGGAGGCAGGGCAGGGGGTTCAGAAGGCTTTCAGGGACTCCATAAGCCTTCTGGGTGGGGTGGGGGCTTTGGTGGCCCAGCCGCTCCTTGCCCCCTTGGCCTGGGGCCATCCTGTCTCTCCCACGATGGGTGCCAGCCCGTGGTGAGGAATCCTCTGGGGACGGAAGGAACGCTGTTCCCTTCCAGCGGTGAAGGTGGGGGGTGGCGGAAGAGAATTGTACAGCGGTTGCGGAGTTTCTGCCCATTTCCATGACATCTGCATGGGGCGTAGGAAAACAGCCGACTGAATCATTATTATTTATTTAACTTATATGCCGCCCACACTACCCAAAGGTCTCTGGGCGGCTTACAGCAATTTAACTACAGTAAAAAAGATAAAACAATTAAAATACAATTAAAATATATACTCTTAACAATTGCCATCAGGACCCACAGTTGATGTCATTCCAATTAAAAACCTTCTGGAACAGGAAGGTTTTGACCTGGCGCCGAAATGTCATCAGTGTCAGCGCCAGATGAAGAATCTCAGTCGGGAGGGCATTCCATAGTCTGGGGGCAGCTGCCAAAAAGGCCCTTTGTCTACAAGCCCTCCCTCTTACCTCCTTGAGGGACGGCTCTTTCAAAAGGGCCCCCTTAACTACCGGGTAGGTTCCTATGGAAGGAGGCGGTCCTTCAGGGATCCAGGGCCCAAGCCGTTGAGGGCTTTATAGGTCAAAACCACAGCACCCGAAGCTTTAGATCTGCCCGTTAGTCGATGGACCGGGGGCATTCTTCACGGTGCTCCTGGGAACCTCTCCTGGCGTCATATGAGGGCTGCTTCTCGGGAGTAAAGGAAGAGAGTGGCCAACACGCTGACCGCTGAAGGGCATCTTGTGCTCCAACTCACCTAGTTGGGCTCCAGATTTTCTTGGGAGCCCC